GGGGTTGGTTGCGGGGTGGGGGGGCGCAAAAATTAAACTTTGCCTGTGTTGACAAAAATCCTAGCACCGGCCCTGGTTCTAAGAGAAAGGTTGGGCTTACCATTTCTCACCCACTATATGGATAATTGTTTTCTCATAGTCAACACAGGCTCTGACACCTGTAAGTTACTATTGTGACATCTGAACTCAGTTTTTGAAACTTTTGGCATTCCAATTGCCTATGAAAAACCTGAAGGCCCTAGCTCTGTCGTCACATTTCTCATTATCGAAACTGACTGTGCAGCATGTCTCAAGATTTCCACGAGAAAAGCTAGCAGACCATTTATAGTGTATTGCACTGGTTTTGCTAGTTAAGAAATCGATGCTTCAGAAAGTGCAATTGATTTTGGTGAAACTGAACTTTGCGTGCAGGGTGTGCACATTTTTGTTGTCACAAGCAATAAGTAGTGTGTGGGAGCCCCATCATTTTGTTTGTTTAAACTCACAAGACTGATTTGCACATTTGGATGAAATTCATAGAAACATTAGATGGTACATCTAACTGGTTAGCTGCCAGTTCGTGGGCAGCATATAATGGGTTGGCATTGCTAGTTCGCTTTGGAGAGGGAATATGATATTGCCCCAAGTGGTGGTAACAGACTGGATTTTATCCTATGGTTTTTTTGGGGGGATCTGTTTTTGCAGGCTGAATCACCTATAGACATAACATTGAGAGTAATGCCTTTTGTTTTCAAAATGGTTGGGTTGGCTGGATTTTACAAAACATTTCATGGTGCACCAAGCTTTAAAGGGCTGGAAAACAGGCAGACAGTGTGCTGATCATCGCCAGCCATTGTTTTGGGAGATTTTGAAAGGTATAATGTCACAATTGCATGCTGTATGCAGTTCGGCTTTTAAGGTGGTCTTGTGTACTGTGGTTTTTCCTTGGCCTTTTTATGGTGTCTACATGTGGGGGAGCTAGTAAGTCCAGGCCCAACTTCTCCCGGGAAACTCACATGATATATCCAATGTCTCTCTCGATCTTGGGATTCACCCTTCCAGAGCAGGTCTAGCTGGATAGTATGTAGCAGACCTTATTCCTGTTGACAGGTTGTGTTGTGTGTGTCTGAATTTTTTATTAAAAGTCAAGAGCGTTTATGGTACAGGTTATGGTATTTTTAATGGAAGGGGAGAGATGATCTATTAACAGTCAAGTGGTTTTATACACATTTTCTTTATGTATTATGGTCAGGACTACACAATAACATTTATTTTAGTCAGGTAAATATGCAATATTGCATACAAATATTCTGTAATCTTTTATTGATTTGGCAGGTGGAGTTCTTAGCTCCTTTTGAGGTGTTTTCTGCAATCCTTTGTTGTAAAAAGCCTGTTAACAAAGTAAAAATTACACTCACAAGTAAATGAGTAGTAACTTATGCTGTAACTGTGCTAGCTCATTAGCTACCACACATTGCACTGGGAATCCTTTGTCATGTATTACAAACTTACTGGTAAAACAAATTGTATGTGAATAGGTAAATTACAGATATTAAAAAATCTGTGTATGGATGCATGAACATATAAAATATAAAGCAAATTGTAATTTCCCTTTACCTAATTCACGGTATACTGTGGTTGCTGGTGTGTTTTACACTGTTTAATTCTTTGTAACTTTGTTAAAATGTCAGAAAATTACATTTCATTCATCTGCATGCACTACAACATGTTGTAATGCAGTGTAGTGCGTTCACAGTGCAGTAAGATGAATTGAACTATTAGGACATGCCTTGTCTATGCATTGGGACTATAATGAGCAAGTCTGCTTAGTGCAGCCCAATGCAAATGGTGTGAATGGGCCATAAGGGACATAGTAATACAGTAGCAAATGTGACAACTACCAATAATTCACTGCAAGTATAGCTTCCTGGTGAATGTTCATAATGTCCTCGATTTTGCTGGTGGATTGATGAACACTAAAAAATTGTCAGCTGCTTGGCGCACACTAACAAATGTTTGTTCGCAACTAAAGTTATTTAGTTGCTAACTAAATTCTTGGTTTACATCTTGCTGTTGGTGGATAGATTCCCTGGTTGGCAGCAGAATGTATACAATGGGGAGCAATAGCCAGCTTTCTATGGGCTATTTCAAATTTCAAATAGGCTGCCTATTGTACCCTCCCACTTTCTCTCTCAAGCCTGCTCCTCTTCTCAGTGGGTGGGTTTAAAAAGTCAGCCTGCTATTGGATATTGCATCTTGAAACAGCCAAAAGCAGGCTGGCTATTGCACCCGCCCACTGAGCAGAGGAGTGGACCTGAGAAAGAACTTTCTCTCTCAGGTCTGCTCCTCTGCACAGTGGGCGGGTGCAATAGCCAGCCTGCAAATGCAATTTGAAATAGCCAATAGCAGGGTGCCCTCAGAATACATATATGAAAAAAAGAAGAAAGAGAAGCACCTTTTCCTCGTGAAATATCGTTTTAATAGTCACAAATGTTAAAACTGAATAAATAATACTCACAAACGGTGTCTTAAACAAAGCATTTCTGAAAACCAAATCAAGCTGGTATAATGAAGCAACCGACAAACGCAGTGGGCCAGAATCTCTGTCCTGCTGACACGTTTCTAGGGCTATACCTTTTTCATCAGAGCAGGGTGGTTTTTGCTCCCTGGCTGTTTACATTCACCTGCCAGCTGTGGAAGTTAGCCAACAAGTGAATTGGGCCGCCGAGGAGGGTTGGGCTGGGTGCCAGGGGGTGGGTATGTGGTATACTTGATCTAATGTCTTAACCATATAGTTTGATCCTTTTTGACAAGTACAATATTTTGTGGCTAATACTGTCTTTTTATGTATACCTTTTATGGAATTAAATTTTGAATTGAAGGAACATGGTTTATCCTATTTCTGCTACCCAGGCACCTCTACAGTCTTGAACCCATACTTTTTTGGGGTATCCTCCACTTCATATGGAATAAACTTTTTAAAATCAAAGTAAAAAATTCAATTTTGATTAAAGCTAAAGAGCACACTGCACAGACCCACATATGCTACCCCTATTAACAGCAAGGCAACTATTTACCATGTAAATAGGTCATGTAAAAAATAGTACAGTTATTTATATTTTCTGACAAGTCTGAATAAAGTGACCTCATCACTGCTTGGTGTTTAATATTCCTTTATATGTCAAGTGAAGGGAAAATTAGTATGTAAAGCTGTGGAGAGCAGCAATTAAGTGAATCTGTTGCTTCATCCTGCAAAAACTCACAGATCCACTATAGTTCAGAACTGTATGATTCACTTCTTGGATTGCTATAGCTTCATATAGTAAGACCACATGCTGGAACTTCCCCCTGCAAAACTTCTATAGACAGCCTGCTAGATCTTTTTCCTTTGACTCACAAAATATTAGGGGGTTATTCACTAAAGAGCCGAAGGATTAAGCTGAAGCTTTGGCTAATCCTTTGGCCTGCTTTGGCTGCTGGAGCCCTTCGGTTCAGCCGAACCCGAAGGACTGCTGTATGGGCTATTCACAATAGCCCGTACAGCAGCGGAAGTCAGCCAAAGTGCTCAGCAGAACTGAAGCACATGCGTTTGGCTCGGCTGAGCTGAAGACACAGCCAAAGCAGGGAGAACGGTCTGCCGAAGTAGACAGTTCTCCCCACAAATGTAACCAAATAGTACAAAAAAACAGCGGGGGGTGCCCCTTCCCATTCATACCAGACCCTTTAGGTCTGGTAGGCATATGTAGGAGGGACCCCCAGTTAAAAAAATATATTTGAATGCATTTTAAATGCATGAGGTTCCCCCAAAAAATCATACCAGGCCCCTTCGATCTGGTAGGTATGTTAAGGGGGAAACCCACCACCAAAAAATGGGGGGGGGAAATGGGGTTCCCCTAAAATTCTCACCCAGAATTCTTAATCCGAGCACTGGCCTGTCAAGCCAGTGCTCGGATTAAGGGGCTGGTTTTGAATTTTAGGGGGGACCCCACATTTTGTTTTTAGTTTTTTTGGTGGTTGGATTTCCCATTAAAATTCCTACCAGACCTAAAGGGCCTGGTATGACTTTTGGGGGGAACCTCAAGCACTTTTTTGTTTATTTTTAACTGGAGGTCCCTCCTAAACATTCCTACCAGACCTAAAGGGTCTGGTATGGTTTGAAAGGGGAACCCTACACTGTTTTTGTTTCCTTGGCATACTTTTGTTTTTATTCTGCTTGCTACCTTAATAGGTTGGACTTGATGGACTAATGTCTTTATTCAACCTCAAATACTATGTAACTATGTAACTATGTAACTATGTACCTCTGAGGTAGCGAACAGAATAACAGAGCCAAATGCAACTCCACTATTCACTCACTGCTGTTCGGCCACTATAAAATCAGACGCACACGGTTGAAGTGAATAGTTCGGCTCACTTCACTCACTTGGCTGCCTTCAGTCAGCTTAGTGAATAACCCCCATAGTGTTATAGCGGAATGTTTTATTGTGTGATCTCCATCTTTTGTGGATACCTTTTGCTTTACCTTGCATGTGTAGATCATTGTCACAAATAAAGAAACACATTTAAGGGAATAAATATATTTCCCATGCATGAACAACAGTGTAAGATGTAGGCTGTATACTCTGTATAAATACTAGTGTGGATGAATTAACTTTGTAAAGCATTGAGTATCTTCACACATCAGAAGTATCAGATATCAGCCAAACTTGCACCCTAACCAGTCACTGTGTATGGGTTTATTCATATCCCCCAAAGTCAAACAACAGTACAGCGATTACATTTTAATCACTCTTTACTTGCACCATGTTTCTGTTAAATTGACTAAATACATACCACAATTATCAGTACTGGGAAGACATCCTAAAACGTCTTTTAAACATTTTTAGTATTGGCTGCTTGAATGTTAAAAACAAGAGGAGAAGTGCTACAAGCAAAGTTACAGAGACAGGCACAGTGAGCAGAACAGCCAATAGAGTGCCACCAGATTTCCATTTGCAGCTATAAAGAACAGACTCAGGTAGCTGTGGCACAGACATATAGGTATTGGAGAAGTTACATGTCATCTCTTGGAGATCTGGGATACTGATACTTCTGGATGCCTTAAGTATTTCAAACCAGCTCAGTTTACAGCAATCAAATGGGTTTTTGCTTAGAAATACAGTGTTCAGGTTCCTTGTGAGTGGCTGATTAGAACCAGACAAGGGTATTGAAATTAGTCTGTTTTTTCGGATGTCCAAATACTGCAGTGGCAAATGAATCAATGATCCAGGGAATGTTTTCAGACTGTTTTCTGAGAGATCAAGAGAAACCAAACTCACAAAGTCAGAGAAATCAATTGTATCGAGAAAGGAGGAGCTATTTCGGATTGAAAGGAATTTTATCGTTCTGGCAGTATCCTTCAAAAAATAAAGGCCTTTCAATGGGTTATATGAAATGTCCAGATGTGTTAATTCCATGCCTTGGAAAACATTATGAGTGTCTAAATTTAAACCAGAGGCAGCTAGTTGTAGTTGCCTAATAGATCCTGTATTTTTAAGGTCCACACAAGCCTGATCTGCAGTAGCATAACCTAGATCAGAACACAATTGGATCAGGTTATGGCTTAGGTCCAAAGTATCTAACCTGATCATGGTGTGGAAGATTTTCTGGGGAAGGTCCTGAAGTCTGTTCTTGCTCAGATTGAGGTAAAGTAATTGTGGAAAACTTTGAGAGCTGGTATCTATTTTAAGTTCCCACAAATCATTGTTACTGAGGTCTAGATTTATAAGAACATTTGAGATGTGTCCAGATGACAGGTCAAATGTATCTAAGCAGTTCCAGCTAAGCCTGAGTTCAGACAATGAAGTCATGTGGGGAAGAAAGTCCTCTGGTAAGTAGTCAAAATTGTTTCTGCTCATATCCATAATTTGTAAACTAGAGAGATTACTTGAGATGGACCCTTCCCATAAATTTACTGTAATTATACTGCTTATATTTTGATCTAGAATAAGGAAATCAACAAAGGAAGAGTTGGCATCAAATAGATGAGCATAGAATTTCATGTTATTGTCAGAGAGCAGCAGTGTGTGGAGATGATGGCGCATTGGCAAGAGCGGAAAGTAGAACAGTTGGTTGTGGGAAATGTCTAGCTTCTCCAGTTGAAAGTCAACATCAACTTCTCGTGCCAGGAACCATTCAATATGGTTAAAACTGAGATTGAGAAATTTGAGCTGTATCAAACTGAAGTCTACAATGCATGGCAATAGGTTAAAGGCAAGGTTTAAAGTGTTCAGTTTTGTAAGATGGTCAAATGTCCCCTTTTCAATCTCATAAATATAATTACCCTGAAGGCTCAGCTCCCTCAGGGAATTAAGACCTTCAAAGATGGAATCATCCAGTCGCATGATAACATTATAGTCCAAATAAAGGTACTCCAGTGATGTTAAATTCTTAAGAAGAGTAGTCACCTTGCCTCCATTAAGATTATTTCTAGACAGATCCAGCCACTTAAGAGATGAAGCAGATAGCAGGCCTGTGGCAACTTGGGTGTAGTCAGAAGAGATAGTGTTATTCTGTAGTGATAATGACTCTAGCTTTACTGTATCTTGGAAGATATCCTTCTCTAAGAGAGCTAAGCTGTTGGATTTCATGCTCAAATTGGTCAGGCCTTTGTACCGCTGGAATGTGTTTTTACCAAGATGTTCAATGTGGTTGAAATCTAAAAGTATTTCTTGGATATAAGAAGGAAGGTCCTGAGGAACAGACAAGAGTTGTAGGTGTCTGCAGTCTGCCATTCCGGAAACCTAAAAGATGAACATTGTGTTATATACAAAAACTGGAATTCACACTAAAATCAACCTTAAAAATAGCAGTAAAAAACTACTGAAAGGAAAAGAGATTGTTAGGGTCAGATTTACTATTTGGCCAGTCTAATCCCCATTGCTGAACTTACTTACCATTATCACTGTTTGGTGTGCATCTGAGACTTTTTTAATTTTCCTTCAATTTGGAAACTAGGGGCAATGCTGCAAACCCTAAAAATTATGTGGCCTGCATCATGTTTTTTTGTCTGTTCGTTCTTTTTTTAAGCATCATTTTAACAATACACAAATTTTTAAAAAGCCAATAATTCAAGTGCAAATAATTTGACCTTGCTTTTTACGGGAATGTAGTGCCTTTTATAAAAGGGACATAATACAATTTGTACTTTAGAAGTTACCTTAGTTGATGGTTATCATAGTGGTGATGGAAACTTGACTCTGTTTTACCATGTTTATTATGACTAAATCACTTTGGTAACAACAAGCCCCAAACCTCAAAATCCCTACCCATCTCCATTTACTTTTCCATGGACCAAAAAGATGAAACCCTATGGCCAGCAGAAGGCAGCTGTCAATTCAGCCTAACCAAGCCATGTGTGAATATGCAAGATCCATCTTGGCTTGTGGGTGGAAGGTGCACTTTGGCATTTGTAGCTTGAGTGCAAGAGGACCTTGTCCCAGCACTGACTGCGTGTGACTTAAATAATGGTTATAATTTTAATAAATTTTTAATTGATGCTCTTTGTCCAAAGTGAAACATATAAAATAGTAAAATATTTAAATTAAACTTGAAGCTTAATACACTGCTGAAATACATCTATCGAACTGTAGTGTTACACAGCGCAGCCATCTGTAGTCTACACTGCAGTTAACACACCCTGGTCCAGTACCCACCCCAGCTTGTTATTGGACAATGAAGAATCAGCTGTACACAGAGAAGCTCATCTGTCCGCTCTCCCTGCCTTTAAGTATGTCTAGTGTTCAGGCAGTGACTCTCAGTGCAAATCAGTAGAGCTTTAATTGGTTTAGACCCTCCTTGTTCTGACTGCTGTGTAGGCAAGTACAGACTAATTTCAAGTTGTTATCAAATAATTATTTTAGTTCTGTAAGAAAAATAAATGTAATTTCATAAGTTGTGTTTTTGTGTGCCTTTCTAGAGTTCAGCTTTAACATGTATGTCAGGGGGGAAAAAACATGCAGTGCATCTCTGCAATTTCCTCATGTTTTATGCCTTCAAAGACTCAGTGCTAGAAATGCACTCAGCTCCTAAGTCCTGTTGTGGCCTGACAACACACAACTTTTTGCGGACTTAGTGTTGTTAGCTCTGCCTTGTTTTCTCTTGCCAAGCATAAATAATATTCATTATGTAGTCCCAAGATAAGGACTGGGAGGGCTAACTACTATACCTCCCAACTGTCCTTTACTTGGAGGGACTGTCCTTCTTTTGAAGCCAAATCCCTCTCTCACTTTATTCTTCTCACTTGACCCTCCTTTTGGACAGGTGTGTAGACTTCTATGATAAATGCACTTTTCAGCTACATAAAGTGCTACATATCACACTAAACCTTTTATACAGACCATTATATTATCAAATTAATACTATAAAAATCTAAATGGAATAATAATAATAATGGAGACAGAGATGAATAAAGCACTTGGGGGTTTAACCAATCATTTTTTTATTTTTTATTTTTCATGATCCATATAACTGGGGGCAGTGTTTTCTTTGCCTACACACTTTGTTCTAGAGGGTGTCCCTATTTTCCATTTTAGAAAATTGGGAGGTATGCTAATTATTCTTCTTGAGACAACACAGAAAGTGAGCACTGGACACAGGACAGTTCTTAATGGCTGACATGAGCAACAGGTATTGTTTGCACTTTGCACGAAAACCAAAAAGTAGAAGTTCTTTAGTATGGTTTAAATGCACTTTAAATGTTGAATGTAGCTCATCTTTTTAATGAACACACTGGTGTTTTCCTTGCCTCTAGGGCAGTGACAGTGGCTAGTGTTGCAGTGCTGTCCTTCCCTTACAGATATTGCTTCAAGCAAAATCCAGACTAGTCATTTATGGCTCAAATGTTGCTCGATTCCTTCTGAATCAGTCAACATTCGAGCTATGGGTTGCCCTGTCAGCACTGCCCAGCTCGTCAAAAATGTCATACAGTGATTTAAGCCAATCAAATGCAGTTACTGGTTGGGTATTCAGACAGCCATGGGTGCCCACAGGGGAGATACCCCGCTCTATGCTGTTTAACGTGGATGGGGGAATCGAGTGATTTCTCTCATTCGGCCCACAGGACTTTAAAGGAAAATCTATAAATATATGCCTAGCTTGACCCTCAAATTTTTCTTGATCCAATGCAAGCAAGGTGGTCTAATCCAGGAATAAAACATAAAGAGAGTGGGGATGCAGTGGTTGCACATTCTGGCCACAGTATCTTTGCAGAGGCTATCATCATGTGATAATGAGAAATGTATGCTAGTTTTATGTCAAAATACATTTAATGATCCGCTGTAGCTCAAACAGCCTATAGGCATATGGTCTTTACTTGCAGTCTTTTATGGTAAACCTATCATGAGAGAAATATGCATCTGGACAGTTTTTAAGTCTGTGACCAGAAACAATATGCAGATCAGGAAAGTTGGAGCCTCTCTCTGTGTACTTGCTTTTGGGTTAGTGACTCCAAGTGGTGAAGCCAAAGATTCAAAATGACTGCCAGTCATCTTCCATTTGCAGAATTAGTTGGAAATGTTGACAGCTTTTGTGTTTCTCTCAGTAGATGCTGTCTTTAATAGTTCATTCTGGTGTTCCATTTTGTAACAATTAACATGTAAAATGTTGGGGGAAAAAGTTGAGGGTTGTATGAAAGGGAATCCTTATTCATTCTTGCTTCAGGGTCCAATTACTGCCAGGTTCAGCCATACATTTCACTATGGATTGTGGTGAGTACAGCAATTATCCCCATCCACGCTAAACAGCATGTCAGAATACAATAGCCAGAAGGAGAGATACCTTCATCCAAGCTGTTTTTTTCGCATGGCTGAACAAGATCAGCAGTAATCGGCCGACATACCATCTGTGTATGGCCAGCTTTAGTCGACATTTACCATATTGTAATTTTCATCTACCATAAAAGAAAGGACTTTCTGTTTTACTTATAGATTTATCCTTCTGAACCACCTGTAGCCCCTTCCACCCTAAGTGGAGTGGTTACTTAAATCTAGTGTTGCTGGAACTGTAATCAGTCTGGCTGATTTGTAGTCTGCGATCATTTGGTCATACATAGGTGTTCTGCTATTGTCTGCACCTACCTGTAGTGGGGCTGTGGCTCTGCCACAGAATATTTGGAGTGTTTGTGCCTCACCAGCCAATCACTAGGCGTTTCATGGACAGCGGTGCATGCTGGGGAAGTGCATAAATACTCAGGGATTGCCATGTGTTTGGGCAGTCCGGACCCAGGCCTAGCCTGGGGGTGGGATCTACATGGTTGGAGAAGCTGACTAGGCCTCAAGCCTGGAGGAAGCCACATGTGGACCCAGGTGGGGTATGGAGCTAGCTGGGAAGGAGAACCAGAGGAGCCCTATGACTTCTGGAGGTGCCAGGAAGGACAGGATGGCTTGAAGCTCAGGAACAAGTCTGGTGTCTCTCCCAGGGAAGATCTCATGCATATCCAATATTCAGCAGTTGCTCTACTACGCAGTGTCATCCTCTGTTCTACTAAAGAATTCCTGCAGTGTGGAGTCTGGAAGGAATTGGTGAGTCTGGAATCTATTGCTATGGATGTCTAAAGCCCTATAGCCACTCTCACAGTTTAGCTGTTCTTTAATAAAGCATCTAAAAAGTACTTAAAGTGACTGGCGCCCAATTTACTGTTCACATCCCACAACCTGGCTAAGGATCTACCCCTGAGAGTGAAATATCAGCCCTCCCCGCCTTTGGGGTCAAGGGGGCGCTACACGCCTAAAATCTAATGGTGTAATATAAGAATGACAGCTTCAGCAGGATTCAGGTTTCTGTTCAATTACTTACACTGCAAGAGTCATCCTATTTTTATTTTGAATAGCGGTAGGAGGTGGAGTTGAGTGTAAAATACTCTAAGTGAACCCTAGAGAACAAATCACTGGCAGACCAGAAAATACTTTTCATTTTTAAGTAGAGTTAAGTCTACTTACCAGCTGGCAGCCACTTTGTGAGAAAAGCTTTTCTCCATCAGCACTGTATCTCCATTGTAATAACATAAGGTACATACAGCCCAATGAGTACCAGAGGGACACTATGGCCATATCATCAGCAGGTGTCCTAAATGAGAAAAAAAAACTTTAGGACTAGAGTACCTCCGTTTATTTTTATTTTTTATTTCAATGTGTTGCAAATTATGTATTTGTGAACAACATTATAATAATTTTATAATAAATTAAATAATAATAACAACAGATATTAAATAAAAAGATAATGCACCAGCACCAGTGGCAGCTGTGGTAGAACCATGTAACCATAAATGTCATTGGGGCTGGGAATAATGTGATCATCATACAGTACATAATGGATCATAACAGAATAATGTAAGATGTTAAAGCCCAATTTGAGCCCAATAAAAACAAGGTGTTCAAAGTCTTGAAGTTGGTTTTCATTAAATAGCAGCACCGCCTGAGTAGAAAAGTCTGTTCCCAGCCAGCGGCTGCAGAGTGGGACCTTTGCTCCGATGGCCCTGGAATGTATTTAGCTGATTCAAACTGAAAGTTCAAGTGGGCATTAAGAGAGCCCAATGTATTTAACACTGTTCTGGAAATACTGGCGCAACATCCTCTTTGCAGTCATTAAGAGAAGTAAAGTGTGGGGCACATCTATTAAGCAGAAAGTGACTGGTTCTTCAATAATTTCATGCTCATCCCCCCATCAATGTTGCCATTGATCTCCGTAAAGCATGGTTACCACTAGCACATTCAGTGGAAAATACAAGTTACAGTATTAATATCTACTGTATTGAAAAGTATACAGCCTGTATTTGACATTTATCATTTAGTGAGGGAAAATCATTTTATCAATGATTTACCCCTTATTCCTGTGAAGGACCCACCATGCAAGCTTCCAAGCACTTACCTGCCACACCCAATTGCTGGAGATCCAGTTCCCAAAATAAATTTTACCCAAAATGAATATCTACCCCCTTTAAATCTTGTATATACCATTTACCATTATTTCTTTCCCAGTAAATGTGCCAATTACACTTTTTCGTTATTTAAAAAAAAAAATGTAATACATGTGAGGAGTACCTTATTTATTTTGATTAAACATATCTCTAAGTACATATTCTTTAATAACTAAGAAATTAAAGTGGAAATGTGGCGTTCAATTCACTCATAACTTTAACATGACCTTGTTGACTGTTATGATATCAACATTTATTCAGTTAAAAAAAATCAGCTGGATACATCATAGGCTTACTAAATACATTGATTCTATATTGGTAACACATATTTAAAATCCAAGGTGTACAAGTCAATCTATAAAGGCTCCATATGGAGAAAAGTGACATACTGCATAGAGAATGTAGCTGTGGTCTTTGTGGGTTTTGCACCTACTGGTGCTCAGTCAGATATTGTGAATAAGATATTTCTCTGTGCCTTAATGGATTGCACTTGACCGCATTAGATTCAAATAATAATCAAGTCAAAAAATAATAAAGGATACAAGTTTAATACTAAAACATCCCCAACTCATATATTAAACTGAAGTGTTCTATATTACAGTTAGTTGCCTTATGCTTAGCTAAAAAAAACAAGCAACAATCAGACATTAAATACTTAATATTTTCTGCAGTTCTTTTAACTTGGAACCCTTTAATGTCAATTAAGTAACCAGTACCCAACCTTTGGCCATGTGGTCTTTTCTTAAGGCAAGGATCAGTGTTAAGGCAGAATCTCTTACTGACTTGCTATACCTGAAGTCAGTCCCCCAGGCCCATTTGGAACTGACCATGTGACGTATTCCTTGGTATTGGAGGAGATAGAAATGAGAAGAACTACAGGGCAAAATGATTCAATATTTATCTTTTGTTTTTCGGTAAGGCCCATGGCACCCTTACCAGCAAAAGAATTGCGGGGGGGCAGCTGTCTCCCTACCCAATGGAGAAAGTAAGTGATGGACATAAGACTAGAGAGACATGAGCATAAGAGATGATGGCAAGAAAGAATGTTTTCCCAAGGGTGTAGGTCTGCCTTAACTGGAGACTAGGTTGAGGCACATGCTGGGTCCAAGTATCTGTCATATAGTATATGTAATATAATATCTAGGGGACTATTGCTTTTGGATCACAATTTAAATATAAGTTGCACACTGACCCCCACCTCCCCCCATAAATGTTCTAAGCCTTACATGTCAGTAGTAAGTCAAGAGTTATGTTCAGCTATAGCAATCAACAAACCTTAGACCCTATTCACACATGTAGCCTTCATATGTAATTTTCATACAGTTCTACATAATGCAACTTAAACATCTTTACCATATGACAAAAATTAAAGATGAGTGAATGTAAAACAGGTGAAACAGAAAATTGCAATGTTGATTTTTTTTCAGAAATATATCTATGAAGAATGATTCAACCTGTGGAGAACCATGAATCATGATTGCCTGTATTGTGTGAATGGAAAGATTTGTATGGAAATATGCAGATTCATAAAAACATGAACTGGTGCTTTGTCTAATTAAACCATCGCAAAGTATAATATTTAGTTTACTGACTCAATACAGGCAGTTTAACCTGATTGCACAATTATCTGCTCGCAAATTACAGTAAACATGATCAAATCATAGCACAATAATGGGACCAATACTTGATGGAGTCATTGGACATTTCTGCATAGGACAGCGCACCAGTAGTATTCGATCAATAATTACATTTCATGTAGGTGGGGTTATTGGAAGGAAGAGATTGGAGAAGATTCTTTGTCGACATCTTGCTGTTTGTGTGCGACTGATAAACAAATGGGCAGCTGTCAACTTCCAGTGTACCGCTCAATGATATCACCTTACCATTTACGCAAAGCTTAACCATCATTTGCTTCTGAGTATGAGTACCTATATTCGTATTGAGTCAGTACATAGCCCTATATCTCTGTCGTACAATTTACAGCATGTGGTTTACAATGGTAACCTGCAATATACTGTAATATAGAAGCATATCTGGTGCTTTTCTGATCATTATAATGTCCTAACAAGGTATTTGATCTGTGCATGCTCAGTAGAAATGTTCTATGTTCTTCGAATTCTCTAGTCCTTTTACGGTACATTTTCTTTTTGTGGGTTCTTTTGCATGTGGGCTAGAAAACCCCAAAAGACACAATTGTGGAGTTACTCACCGCACGTAGACAGCAGCACATCATCTTGGGTTCCACTTGACTTGCTGGGGGCCACAGAGAGGAATGAAGAAGTTGTGTCACTGCACCGGAGGTCCGTGGAATCTTGAATGTAGACTCCTCCGTGAAAGCCAAATAACTTTGTTGTTAGCATGGAGTTTAGAGGCGCTCTGCACAGATTGTGCAATAAAACTTGCTTAAAGCATCAGTAATATAAACGTCAAAATATCACAGGCTGAGGTAATATTGGTGGAGCGTTGGTGGAGGTGACCGAGTGTCACTGTGGTACTCGGTACAACGCTATGTGGACTGAGCCAATTAGCTGAGGAGCGAGGTGCACATGTGGTCAGGTTGGCACATGCATGATCTGAAAGAGAACTGCACATTCTTCAGGCTGTTTTTTTTCTTCCTTCTAGAGGTTATTTTAGATTTTGCGGAAGGAAATAACGGAAACCAAAGTCACATGAACTGCTGTGAAATGAAGAGCAAGAGCAGTCACCAGATTCTATAGATTGTTCTCTTTTACTTTAGCTACCACCAAATGACATTTTTATCAGCCTCACCAATGCCTGCGACACATCAGTGTTATAAGGGCAGGGCAAAGAATTCTGGAATATTTCTTTCTTTTGGGGAAATCTAATTTCATGAATTTTGGGGTCTTAAAAAAGTATTATTTAACTGCAATGAAAGCAAAGCATGTCCCCACATAGTTATTTAAAGCTGAACACCAGGCAGATATAAAAGATACAAATTATTGCAGCTTTGTAAATAATACATCATTAAATGTAAGCAAGTACAGGAATTTGACCTGGTTTAAGCATCTTGCAGTCCCTGTGCAGCAGGGCTCAGACAGGGGGAGGGAAAAGCAGCACACAAAGCAAATCAGATGAGCTCATCAATGTGCTCCATTTACTTTTACTGTCTAGTTAAATGCTTGGGGAGGGGAGGAAACCTGTAAGTGTCACTGAACTGTAGCAGACAAAAATCACTTCTCCTGCCCAGCCAGAATAGAGCTGTTCTGTATGGCAAACCTGTGTAAATCTGAAGACTGGTTGGACAGGTATGTTCAAAAGGCTTCAAATAAAAAAGTACCTGACTACAAGGGGGTTAACTACAAATCATGGGGCTCCATAGCAATGTTTTCGTAGGACCCACTTACTATTCAGTAACCATCCTACAGTGAAATCTACGCAGCACCTGCCTTTTGTCACTTGTGGCCAATGGTCTATACTGCACACATATTTATACCTTGTACTAACTCCCCTTTAGCTAAGGTGGTATCATAAATATTATAATGAGCAAATTTATTTTCTTCTGTCCAGAAGTGTATGGAGCTTATAACTCGTCAAAAGTCAACATAAGAATAAGCAAAATAGACCAATACAAAAAAGTTTACATAAAAATGGCAAAAAAGTCAGAAAAAAAAGAGAAGGCGGCGTGTTAGGATTGGCACCCCCTGGCCGGTAACACACACAGAGTCTAAGGCCCCATTCACAAGGGACTTATGCTGCATTCAGGGATACCTGTGCCAAGATCCTACATATTCTTGCCTCTGGAATCCAAGGTGGGTCCATTCAGATGCAGCCATTTAAGTGAATGACAGGCTGACAGCAGCAGCTTCTGTCAGTGGCAGTTCACAGGTAATTGGTAATTGTACATGGAATGATTATCTGTGGTTTGGGATAGATGACTGTCCCTGGACGCAATCTGTCTGCACCCAGAGGTAATCATTTCTGTGATAGCAGATAGTAGGAACATGGCGGCTATGCTGTGGAGACAGGGTAACAATATAGCTGAAGGTCAGAGTTTTAGCAGAGGTTGAAGCAGGCGGCAGGCAACAGAGTAGTTGGTGTCCAGACAGAGAATGAGGCAGGCGGCAGGCAAGGATAACGGGAATGCACAGAGTGAGCAACAGGGGCAGTAGATACGAACAGAGTCAGGCAATTCAAGTGAGTAACACGCAAGGCAGAGCAACGTATTTTCACACACCAGGTAGCTGGCAAGTAGACACAGCACCAGCCTCCATAAGGGAGGGCATTTTAAATATTCTCCTTGGCCTGTGTGCCTACCCAGTATCAGACAAACACAGCAATACAAAAATGGCAACTGCACAAATCAATTTATAAATAGCTTTTAAAGTAAAGTGAACATGGAAGTGCTTTACATAGTAAAAATACAAACATTTCCCAGCACATTTACTACCTAACCTTCAAAAAAACTAATTTGCATCAAAAAAAGTTTTAGTTGCACAACGTTTGCAAAATATGTGGAAGCCACGCTGCTTTGTTAAGGCTGTTCTGTGTAGTGAGGTTCTAACTCTCATCTATGAGAGCCTCCAATTTGGAGCATATATACAGTAGCAATGGATAAATTGAGTGCAGGTATGCCCGAAGGTAGCCCTCCTTAAAGGCACAGGGATACACCAGAAGTGTGTGTGTATAAATTTTAGCTTGAGCTACAGAGCTTTGTAAACAGGATATTTCAGAAATGCAGATGATGAAAAATGTGTGCAAAGGAGCTTAGAGTTATACCTGCTACAAAATATATAAGCAATAATGTCACCACCTATTATCTACCTAAAATAGGTAGAACCTTTAATGTACAGTATAAACTTTTATGTATTATTATGGCCATCATTAGTGCCTGGCACCCGGGGGAACAACGGCAATGTTTACACTTTACTGCTTTGCGGGATACCTACATAGTAGCAGGTGGTGTCATCGGTGACTCTGAAGGGAATTCAGCAGAGCTGTAAAGTGTTCTAAGCCCCTGTCAGACCTCAGGCAAAAGGGCGGAGCTAACAAAAATCCCTAGGCTCCTGCTCGGCTCCAACATGCCTTATGACACAGCCAAGGGGAAGCCTGGCAGTAATTTCCTCACTTTGTATGGGGAATTTTTGTGCTGGGAGTGGAGACTTTATTTCTAGTAGGGATTTTTCTTGGAAAGGGAATGATTTGTGCTGGGGTGGGGGTTTGCAGAGAAGGGGGGGGGTTTATTTTTGCTAAGTGGGGATTTACGTTTGGCAGGGGGAGATGTGTGCAAGGGGAATTTGTTTGGGGGGGAAGAAATTGTTGCTTGGGGGGGGGAGGGGGGAAGGGCAGGGTCATTTGCTTTGCAGGATTTTTGATTAGAGGAAGAGGGAAGGAAGAGATTTTTTGGTTGAGGAGATTTGTACTTGGGATGGGGAGATTTTTGCTTTGGAAGTTTTCGTTGGGGGATGAGGAACTTTTTCTTGGGGACTTTTTGCTTAGGTGTTAATTGTTGCCTGGGGAGGAGGGAGACAGGAATACTTGAGGAGTAGCTGAACTGGTGCTGTGGGATTACTCATAACATCTACACTCATAAAATACACCTGAACACTGCACTCTGTACTGTGTGTTTAGTATTCCTGACCACTCCGTTCTGTTAACTGGGAGTTCAGCAGTCTGTAGTATGTAATGCACTTTGTACATGGTGCTGTATGTTACATACTCCTGACCCTCACACTCTGAGGCATAAGTGTGCTGTAAATAAAATAAGTAGGCTCAGGTTCTATTAATGATGCCCTTTTGAGCTCTTCCTATTGTTAGTGCAATGTGGGTATACTTACAGTTCCCTTGGTACCCAATACGCCCTCAGTCGTTCACAATTCTAACAACATTTCTAATTATCACTTTTTTTCAGTTTTTTTTAGTAAGTATATTTTGACCTGTAATCTTAAGCCAACAGCTTTGCCCGATGTCTGAACAATAGGCACAGGCCCCAAAAAAATAAATGGAGGGGCTACATGGCAAGGATGAGGAAAGAGTTCAAGATTAGAGCTGGAAACTGCAGGTTTTACCTGATTGGAGGTTGAGGGTCAGGTGGTAGGGAGAAACTTCAGCGGTAGGATTTGCAGGGGCTGCGGGGAGTTCTTTCTGGAAGGTCGAAGAGAGATTGTCCCACCTGCCCTCCTTTATTCAATGTTGCCAGACAGAAACTAAAGTGCAAGTTAAAAATAAAAGGGGCTTCTTGAAAATAACAATTAAGGGCAAAAAACAATGGAGGAAGTCCAGGACAATGCCAACCCGGAGGTCATATACCAAAGCGGGTAGTCAGCTGAACCAGGGAAGGAAACACTGAGAACAGAATGAACAGAAAAAATAGCTGGAGTCAGGAGCCAGGAGATCAGTCAGCCAGAGCCAGGATCATGCACGGGGAACATGGACAACTGCAGAGCACTGGGCATATCAGAACACACACAAGCGCAAAGACTAAATGGACCAGCTGATGGTTAAATAGTGAATTGGTGTTGCATGATAACTCTGAAATAGGAATTTGTCAGGATTTTGTCGTTAGTTGCAGAATGATGATGATCACGGGTTTGGTCATAAGAGGGCACCAAAGAGGAATAATCAGTGACAGACATCCTGCAAACAAGGCATGCTGCAGCCAACTGAAGGAGGAAGGGTAAGAAACCCTGACAATGAGATGTGGTCAGGCAGGTGCTGGGATGCCCATCCGTTGTTTCATAGGCCTGAACACTGCTCACTTCTTGTGCTGGTGAGAAAGGGAAGGCAGTGTCATTGATGCCCAAAATGTGCTCCTGGTTTGTAACATACAACCCATATTGAGGAACTAGCAACAAATTCACTCCTTGCTTGACCAAGCCTGAGACATGTGGAATGCTTCTCCTATCTTTGTATATTATGGGCCATGACAGAGTTCAAGACATCACAGAGCCCACTCTTCACCTTCATCTATCTATTTATGCACATTTAATAAGTGTTTGTTCCTGGTGGGAAGCACTGGATGGTAGGATTGTGGCCGATGTATATGTGTCATCTAAGTTTCTCACTTACACATGGTGAGGGGCTCCAGTAATTGTGTCTGTTATGGAGAAAACAAACTTTTTGGTTTCTCAGACATTAATAAGTTCTGGCTTTGTAGACTTTTGGGTGGGATAAAGCTTCCAGTTCTAGGTCTATGCTCCAAATAGCAAGCAATTGAGCTGCAAGTTTGAAAATGACTTGCTTAGCTATTGCAGACTTGCCGAGCTTCACAATTTTGTTGCACAATTACAGCAAGTCTGCATTGCAAGTCTCCAGATCAATGTGCTTTGCAAAAGTGCTGTACACTTGCAGAGCTATTGCTAAGACCTGCTGTAGA